AAAACAAAACAAAAACTCCAAAAACCAAACAAAATAAAAAATGGTCTCAGAGGAAGTGGGTGGACTTATTGAAGATGATACCCAGAAGGTAGTCCTCTGGCCTCTACTTATGTGCACACACTTGCGTGGACCCCTGCATGTATTTGTGTACCTGCATGTACACAAACACATACATTAAATGAAGATTATTTAATACAGAATATTTTTATCAAAACCTACTGCTTTACTTTTTTTTGTTAGGTTTGTGCAGAAAAGCATGCTGAATAAATCAGCACTCACTGTTGTTACTTCAATAATATAGTAATGATTTTTTACCACGTATGAACTGACTCGATTATCAATTTCTTCTTCACATTTGGTGAGAAGCAAAGATTGCAAGCCCCTCCCCAGCCTTGGTCTGCAGTTGCTGGCTGATTATACAGTCAGTCGAAGGATGGGCTCTGGCTTCAGCACTCACACAAGGTGGGCTTATACTCAGCTAGGGAAGACCTTGAAATTCTTCTCTGTGTTTGTGGTGGTCCCAGATTCACACATTGATGATTTTGCCTCTGGGAATGCTACCCTGACTGCAGCTGATCTTGTCCGATAGATTCTTGACTCACAGGCCTACACGTTTTTTAAACTTCCCACTCAAAAGGCATCTCTCATGAATGCTTGCACCTTTTTCTTATTTAAGAATTAGTACTGAGGTACTTTTTTATAATATTCCGAAACAATCATTTAAAACTTTTAAAGCGACCAGAAAAACTAAAATTATTAGAGAATTTATCATGACAATGGAATTATGTCAGCACCCTGTAGGAAACTAGTATAGACAAGAATGAGTTTCTGTTTTCTTTTTGGCCGTGGAGACTCCACGGGTTGTCTAGGTTGACCTTGAACTCCTAGGCTCAAATGACCCTCTTGTCACCGCGCCCAGGTAAGATTGTGTATTTTCTGAAGTCCTCTGTGAGTTATGAAGTAGCTGTTTGTTATTTCCTCTTTTCAAACTCCGGCAAGACTTCCAGCTCACACCAGAAAGTAATGCTCTTCCTCCTCACGCTGTCGGACAAAGATTCAGCCGCGGGTTTTTGTCTCTCACATTTTCCCTGTTTTCACTAATCCTTGCTCTGACATTCTTTTTTTTTTTTTTAAGGAGTACATCTCCTTCACTAAAGGGTGACAACTGTCACAACGGAAATTTGTTTAGTCATTAAACCCAGGAGTTTGCTAGGCCTATTGTTTACGGGCTGGATTCTTTTGGTTGAATTTCTCTAAAACCTTGGGAGTGACTCAACAGCTGTGTTCTTAACACAGAGAAAGTTCCCGTGTTGATAACTGAGGCCAGGTGAAGGGTATGGGATGGAACTTAAGAGTCCTCTTGGGACACAGAAGCCACATCAAACACTTGGCTAGGTCTTTGCCGGCCCCTCCTTGTCACAGTTATAAATGGCACTTTCCTTTTATGTTGGCTGAAGGCCCAAGGCAATTTTGGTGTTGGCAGTGAGTGTTAGTAGCTGAGTCTGTTTTTTTGTTTGTTTGTTTGTTTGTTTGTTTTTTGTTTTCTGAGGCAGGGTTTCTCTGTGTAGCCTTGGCGGGCTGGAACTACAGAGATCTGCCTGCCTCTGTCTCCCGAGTGTTGGGATTAAAGGTGTGTGTCACCACCGCCCAGCAGGTGAGTTTGTTTTAAGAAGACTTGAGTTGGTCCACGGTGGCGCACGCCTTTAATCCGAGCACTCGGGGAGGCAGAGGCAGGCGGATCTCTCTGAGTTCGAGGACAGCCTGGTCTACAAGAGCTAGTTCCAGGACAGGCTCTAAAGCCACAGAGAAACCCTGTCTCGAAAAGCAAAAGACTTGAAAATACAGCAATTCATTTATGATCAATCCGATTGTCTGTATAGGAAATCTATGACAACTTCTGAGCATGCTCAGACCTCAGAAGTGGCTGGATATGAGACTAGCAGGTGCCCTGAGTTAAAAGTTTTGTTTACCAACAATAAGTCATCCTAAGATAATTAGTAAAAGGGGAGGGGCCTTTTGTGGAAAGCCGACAAGGAAATCTGTGAAGGAATGTGCAAGGCATTTGGAGGAAAATGACCTTCGCCAGCTCTGGGGCTCACAGTCTCAGAAATTCAAGAATCTGGTGAAGCCATGGTGATTCAAATGGTGTGAACTGGTTGTAGAAATAGTAAAACAAAGCATATATATTATATGTGTGTGTTTAAGGAGATCATTCAAATTATAAAGAATGCTGTCTGTTTTTTAATGAAAACATTATTATTGTATGTGTAGGTACCTACGCCACGGTGCAAGTGTGAAGGTCAGAGGACAGTTTTTTTTTTTTTTTTTTTTTTTAGTTTTTTGAGACAGGGTTTTTCTGTAGCTTTGGAGCCTGTCCAAAAACTAGCTCTTGTAAACCAGGCTGGCCTTGAACTCAGAGAGATCCGCCTGCCTCTGCCTTCAGAGCGCTGGGATTAAAGGTGTGTACCACCACCGCCAGGCTCTACGCACATTTTAAAGCGTCTAAGTGTAAAATGTATAAAATAAAACTCTCTAGAAAATGATAACAAGGTCTTAAAAATGTTTTATAGTGCAGATTAGTAAGCTTTCAACCTACTTGCTAATAGCCTGAGTAACACCCATGGTTATCAATGTCTCTACAAAGGCTGCAGGGCTAGAAAGAAAAAAGAAAAGGAAAAAGAAGAGCATTGCTGCTCTCTCAGGGCCTTTGCACTTGTCACCTTTATAGATATTTCCAATAAAAATGTTACAATAGCAATGAGCTGCGATTAAGGCCTAAGCGAATATCACTTTCGTACCAGCTGTAAAACTCAGTTTTCTGGGGACTCTCGCTTTAACTTGGGGGCCACCCTTGGGACCTACAGGACAGGCTGTAATTTGTGCAGTGACAATACAGACCACATTACCGTCTCATTAAGTTCCCGATACACCCTTCGTGATGTAACTCCAGAGCCCTCCAAGATATATAACCACAATATATAATGGCTGATTGCCAAAGACACTCTATGGCTAAAGACACTTACAAATATAGCTATATTTTATGGACACTTAAGTGAGCTCGCTCTCTCTCTCTCTCTCTCTCTCTCTCTCTCTCTCTCTCTCTCTCTCTCTCTCTTTCTGAGACAGGGTTTCTCTGTAGCTTTGGAGCCTGTCCTGGAACTAGCTTTTGGAGACCAGGCTGGCCTCAAACTCACAGAGATCCGCCCACCTCTGCCTCCTGAGTGCTGGGGTTAAAGCCTGCGCCACCACTGCCCAGCAAGTGAGCTCTCTTGAAAAGACTACACACACCTGGGTATGTCTCATTTCTACCCTTCCCCCCCACCCAACACCTATCTTTCTACTAACCTTACATCTATGTTTAAAAGCTTTTACTAAACTTACGACTTGTGTCACACTGACTTATTCCAAAATCTTTTTTGTCAGTGACATCAAGAATCCTGGCTTCATCAGAGAGAATTTCTGAAAAGAATTCTTTCGTTTGCTAAACCCAACATGGAATTGTGTTGTGTGTCCAGTTACTGACAGAATCTCTTTGATTACCCAGACTGTTCTCCAACCTCCTTCCTCCTTCAACCTCCCTGTAGTTGGGTCATTAGGTGTGTCTCCACCACAATTGGTTGCAGGGTGTGTAAAGGTCTGTCCTGTCCCTTTAGGATACAAGCCCTGCCCACCCATCCCCACCCCCTTTTGCCGAGGCAAGCAGAAGATCTGCTTCCAGCCTGAGCTCTTTCCCTTTCCATCTCTCTCCCTTCTCCCCACATCTCCCCTACCCCTCTTTGTTTCTCTTTCTTTCTCTCTCTGCTCTTCTCCCTTCTCCCTTCCCCACTTTCCCTTTCCCCTCCATAACCCACTAAATAAATACCCACTTTCTCTGCATGGCGTCCTAATAGGTTTCTATCTCTCACCCACTCCCTGCCTGGGACTTGCTGGCTCTCGTGGGCCTGGGCTCCTGGCACTCTGAATGGCCCCCTTTTACTTTTGCCATAACAGGGTAAAATTTGAAATCATTCACCCCTGCATCCTCCCAAAGCAATATTTTGAAACAGGCTGATTATACTAGAGAAAAAAATTGTTGATATTGAATTTTGCTTTTCCAAGTGAGCGCCCTTTGGAGCTTTTGCTACATTGTGAGCACATTACAGTTTCCAGGAGACTGTTGGAAAGACTCTTGAAGTGGACAGAGACGATGCATGGATGCCCTGTATTAGGTGCATGTTTCTTACATTTTAGCTAGTTTTTCAGCCATGCAAGGTTGTTAAAAAAAAGGGGGGGGGAGTTAATGCTCCCATTTGGTCAGAGGTGGCTGCTCCTTTGCTTCTCTGGTCTTTCAGCATTTACTTAGATATCTGACTCCAGGTATTTATTGATAATACTAATCAGGGTCACGCTTCATACACTGGTTACGGTCTAGTGTGAGGTCAATGCAGGGAAATACAGTTGCTGTTTGTTGATTGCTGATTACAACAGCTGTATGGAGTCTAGAGAACGGTGTGTCTTATCTCTTCCTCCTCTTTTCCTTCTCATTCCCGTTCCTTTAGCATGAATCACACCAACTTGTTTCTGAGTTAGTAAAATGACAAAGCCACCATCTATAGATGAGATCAGTACAGCTCAGGATAAAAAATATAAATTTATTAAGTAAAAAAATTTTTTAAAAAGGGCTAATGCAAACGATTTTTTGCACATAGAAATAGAAGGGGCCATGGTGGAAAATCTATTCAGTACAGACCTAGGTGAAGGGACTCGAGCCAGTTGACCACAGGGACCGTGGGGAGGAGGGTGTGTGCCTGCGTGACTCAGTAGCTCAAGGACAACAATAAACTCTATTTTGGTGCAAACACCGTTTTTTGTAAACTTTGTGGTAATGAGACTACTGGGCTGTGGTCCTCAGGGAGGAGATAAAGAAGGCCCGGAGGCAAACAGTGAGGAGAAAGCCCCTGGGAAGGTGGCAGGGGCGGGGCAGCCCCAAGGGAGCTCGAGGTAGAGAGGTGGTGGCCTTGGGGGGTTGGGGTGAGAGGGTAGAGGCCGACTGGGTGACAGACGCTGTACCAGCTGAACCGAAGCATGGCGGCTGAGGCCGCCCCCGGAGCCACAGGTAAGGGCTGCCGCGTGCCCCGAGTAGCTGAGAGAGAGCGAAGGACGCGCAGCGGCCGGCCCCGGGGACACTAGCCCGCAGAGGCAGAGTGCGGCGCACTTTTCGCCATTGCAGCCTGGGGTGTGCAGCGCAGCGGGGCTGAAGGTCTTCCCGCTTCCTCTGATCACTTCAGTCCTGGGTCAGCGGAAACTGCAGGAGGAACCTCCAGAGTTGAAGCCCTCGAGGGCCCTGAACTGAGTAACCCCTGAGCTGGGTACCTCGCGTGCTGGGTACCCCCTGGGCTGCTCCCCCACCCTCCAACACCTGCTTTGGGACCTTGGATCTGGGCTTGCTGGAGTAGTTGGGGAGAGAGCTCCGGGCTAGATTCCCAGTGTCAGTCTGGGAAACAGGAACCCCACGGTGGGGAGAATTCTGCAAAGCAGTTCGTGCCCATTTCCCAGCAAAGAGGACCGGGGCTGAGGCCTGTGTTGAGAGAGGAAGTGTTGCTGCCGCCCAGGCTTGGTGCCAGTCTCTTTCTAGGCTCCAGGCACACAGCCTACATGCCTCTTTGGCCCAGCGAGCTTTCGGGGGGGGGGCGGGGGACCTGGATTTGAAGATGTATCCTTGAGCTGGGGCCCCCTCTGATGCCTCAGGTGATACCATTCCAGACATTTTTGCTAGGCATCCTGGTCACAGGTGACTGGCCCTGTCCCACAGGCAGCCACATCGGGCGCACAGGCCACTTTCTCAATAGAGTATCATGTTGGGGCGTCTTGGCATTTCGTCGGAAGCCTGTGGCAGCACCGGAAGCCACCAGTTTTTATGGTCTGCCGTAACTGCTGCGGTCCGGTTGTTTTTCTTCTATTTTTAGGGGAACAAGATAAGGAAAGAATGTAGCCACTAGCTAATTATATAGATTATTAAAGTTTTAGTTGATCTAGAGATTAAGAAAAAGTTTGTCGTTGATATTGGAAAGGGTGGTATTATTCCTCGTTTGTTTTTTAGTTTTGTCTTAGCTTCGTTTTTTTTCTAGAAAGTTAGTGTTAAAGGCTTGGATAAGCGAGGGCTGTTTCCAGTTTATGTGTTGGAAAACTAGAATGAAGGGGGGGGGCTTGCTTTTTGATCTTATCTTCCTCCTCTACAAAACAGGAGAAGCCCCCTAGGGTCTATTAAGCCCCGCTGTCTCTGGTTACACTCCGGTCTCTCCTCCCTCCTGGAAGGGAAATGGTCGCGAGCTGGAGGGCCTCCCCGCTCCTCGGCATTTTAATAGGAAGCAGAATAGTAATTTCGCCTTCTGGAAAAGTGTAGTTGGCCCGAAAGCGGCTTGTGGATTTTCCTGTACTCGCTTCGACCTTTGCTGTGGTCTCGATGGTCACCCACGGTTCGGATGACACACAGCAGTCTCGCGCTTGTCATTTCCACAGTGTTAGCTCCTAATGGGTCGGAGGCTTGCATAGTTGAACTGCTGCCTGAGCTTTGATAGCTGTTTCCAGAAACAGCTCGGGCAAATCTCGGCGACTGGGGAATCCCTTTCTTTTCAGCGGAGAAGCATGAAGGGAGAAGTTAGGCTTTCAGGTAAAGGCCACATGCCAGCCTCCGCTTAGCGTCGCCGCCGCCGCTGAAAAATGAGGAAGGACGTGTGACATTCCTGCGGCAGCTGTGCTCTGTGTCTGCGGGAGGATTTGGTTTGGGGGCGGTACCGTCCAAAGGGGATTTGAGGGTACCCCACAATAATTTACATCCTGACATGCTCTAAGTCGCCCCCCACCCCCCTCATCTATTCTCTCCCTCCTCTCTACCTGTTTTTAATTTCCCTGATGCCAAAACCTTCTTAGGTTCCACTGGGCCATCTGTTGCTGTCATTTTAGCTTAGAACAGAGTTGAAAGAAAGGAGAAAACCAGACACAGCCTGGTCCTGTTACCACCCTCATCTTTTATCTTGAACTTCCCTGTCTGTGAACTAAGGATTGGGCTGCCTTATAAGGGATTAATTGGGATCCTGTGTCCTCGGGAATTCACGGTTGGTCCCAGTGTCATTAGTAGTAAGCGTAGAGAAAGCTATTCATTTTGGTTTTTGAAAAGTTGGATTTTCTGATAATCCGTGCGGCTAATGAAACAGAGAGGATAATAAAGCATACATAATAATAATAATATATAAAAATATAAAATAATAAAGCAGAGAGGATTGATGGCACAGAGCTAGAAAGCAAACTGAAACAGGACAGAAGCTCGTGTAGGTTTGTATGACCCGCTGCAGAAGGGGACAAGAGAGTTAGGGGACAGGAGAGAAGTGAGTGGGACCTTGGTTTGGAGGCCTCCCGTGTCCTTTTTAAAGCATTGAGTATGCCAAAGGCTGTGTCTTAGGGTCTATACTGCTGTGAAGAGACACCACGACCACGGCAACTTTTATAAAGGAACACATTTATTTAGGATGACTCGCTTACAGTTCGTAGGTGCAGTCCATTGTCATCGTGGCAGGGAACATGGAGGCACGCAGGCAGATGTGCTGCTGGCTACGTCCTGATCAGAAGGCGGCAGGAGGGGGCTGTGATACTGAGAGAAGCTTAAACTAAAGGGACCTCAAAGCCCGCTCCCACAGACACCGAGTCCTTCAGCAAGGCCACACCCACTTCAGCAAGGGTAAAGAAGCAGTGGAGAGATGGATACTGAGGGACCTGAGGTGTGCACAGAGCCAGAGTAGCCCGGAAGTAGGGCTGGAGGGAGGGAGGGGACATGTCATAGGACTCTAAGGGGCCAGGCACAGGTATAGTTTGGAAAGTATTTGCAGAGACAAGAGAAAGGAAAATGTTAGTGTTAGGTGAAGGTCTCTCTTGCACCACGTCACACCCGGGGATTGAACTCTGGTCACAAGGTTTCGGGGAAGCTGTCCTTACCTTTACTTTTTTTTTTTTTTTTTTTTTTTGGTTCATTTACTTTTAGGAGTGCTTTTACATCAGGTATTGTCTGGAGCTCTTCCCAGGCTTACCTTCACTGACCTTCACATCAGTAAGATTATGTACAAGTGGGGAAACTGAGGCCGAGAGCTGAACTAGGGTTATCTGGCCACTAAGTGGCAACAACCCTGGACATTGATATGAAGGTTTCTGGCAGGGTTGGGTCTTTGGCTCAGGTCAGAGCTTTTTCTAATGCCTGAAGCCCTGAGTTCTACTCGTAGGGCTGGAAGCAAAAAGCCAGGACAAAGTAACCCAAGAGACATTGGGTTTCCTCAGAGAGTGGAAAATTTCCCTCCATTTGAGAAAAAGAGGTGGTCCAAGGAGCTGGGAGAGTCAGTTCACCAAGGTGTTTAGAGGTGACCTCATGTTAACACAAATTTAAATCACCCCCGCCTATTCCTGGTGACTCAGTGTCCTTGGAGGGGATGTGGATTTGGCAGGTTTGGGATCTCAGTTTCTGGGAAACAGAACCTCACTGAGGACAGAGGGACTTTGCGCTCAGCTGTCCTGGAGCACCTCGCTGGGGCTGCCAGTGAGAAAGGAAAGGATTTTGGGGTGGGGTGGGGGAAGGGTGGTGTGGACGGACAGTCAAAAGCAGAGGGACAGTCAAAAGCTGCTTGACCGTGAGGATTGCCCTTTGCTTCCTACCCAAGCAGACCTTTGTCTCTGGGCAAGCAGGACCCCTGTGGATCTTTGCGGTTAGTGTCCTGAGCTCCCTGAAAGAGTGTGGAGGTAACAGTTCCTCTTAGGTATGGGCAGAGACCCTTGTTGGCACTGCACCCAGGAAAAATTCCTGGGTGGGAGTCTCTGCAATCAGGCAGGTGTATCAAGCTTGCTCTGTTTTGGACAGAGTGCCCTGACCAGGGCTCTGGGTTGCCTGACCCCTAGAAGGGCCAGGTTCTCCCAGTGGCTGAGTGTCTGTGCGCCTCTCCTTTTGTGGTTCCCGGTGCCCTGTGCTGTCTATACTCCATCCAGCTCCTGCTCACTCGCCGCCGCTAGACTTTGCAGTAAACGGGACTGATATTTCATAAGACTTGGGCAGGAGATCTAGGTGTCCTTGTTTTGGACTAGTCAGATGGGGTGGATGACCAAGTGACCAGGATTCACACCGGGCAGTGGGACAGAAGGCTAGTCGGCTGGCCTTCACTAGCTCCTGGCTCCTCTAATGTTATTTGTTGTGTAGCCCTTGCAAGTTCCAGGCGAAGGACCGTAGAAAATGGAAGTGCTTTGCGGTAGAGGAACAAAGGGTTTGTAACAAAAATGGAAGCTCTTGGTCACTGGGCAGTCGCCTTTCAAGGTCAGTACTTTCAAGGTCGGGGACTGTCAGTAGCAGTTGAAGGTCTGGGCCTCAGAGTACAGTTAATCAGGATGAGACAGTTGTGATTTTGAGATGCTGTGCACACCTGGAACCCTCATACTCTGTAGGCTGAAGCAAAGGGGTTCTAAGGTCAAGTTCAGCTTGGGCCATGGTGTGACTCCGGCTCAGAAAAAAACAAAAGCCCCCCCCCCCAAAAAAAATCTAGGTTGCCTGTATGGCTCTTCCAGGGTTAGTGGCTTCTCTTTCTAGAGTTAGCAATCAACTAGCGTGGATGAGGGACCCAAAGCCTCGTGAATTTAAGGCCATTTAAAGCATGTTTAAATATAGGCATGCCCCCTTGCTATTCTTCTTGTCCCTTTCTCTAGTCTCTTGAACCCTCTCCCATTAAAAGCATTGCATCCGGTCATTCCATATCCCTAAGCTGGGGCCTCATTTTTTTCCCCCCACAAGAAAACAGATTGATTTAACCAGTGCCCATGGGTTCTGAGGACATACAAACCTCTCACAGGTGTTTGTACCTTCAAGACAGGACAGCCCCCGTGTCCTGAGTGCCCAGAATGAGCACTATGGGGCTGAAGCCTCTCAGCCATGCGTGTGTTACGGGGGGGGGGGGGGGGGGGGGGGGGGGGGGGGGGGGGCCACGTCTCCACCTAGACAGCTTGACTTGTTGAAATGAAGATGAATGTGTTGTTCTTGGAGAGCAGGTCTGTAACCACGACTTGGAAACTCCGCTAACAGAGAGAAAGCTG